CCTCCTCCTCCTCCTCCTCCTCCTCCTCCTCCTCCTCTTCTTTCTGCTTCTGCTTGAACTTACAGCCATTAACCTGGAGCACAGCAGAGACGGTTAATCTGAGCCAATCCATGATGATTATTTGTGAAAGAAAGACATTGACTGATGGGCATCTCTGTGATGGATGCAATGTGTACTTTCCTTCCAGTGAATGATTAAACTGTGCCTTAATGGAAGGTGACAATGTGTTTCACGGTCTCCCTATTTCATTTTCTAATGACAAATTAACTTTATTAGGCCTCCTATAATAAGTGCTGTATATCTAATATGATAACAGTAAATGTTACTGCGCTGCGAGCCTTTTCAAGGTTTACTGATAACATTTGATGTCTTAGCCTAAGAAGTGTATGCATCACAGTTTTGATTGGAATACCTCAAATAATTGAGAACCAAGAATATGCACTCAAATGATATGGTTATATATCAGTTACCTTCCTTAATAAAATGCATACATAAGGAATTTATTAACAATTATTTTTCCAGTAATTGATTGCATCTCAGATGGATTACAAAGATTGGTTAGAGAAGCAGAGGACAAGAAGGCTAAGAGCTCACTGATCACTGTTTGGTTTTAGTTGTTTTAGTTTTCTTGGCCTGCGTGATCATTCTTAAATCTTGGGATTTGTGCTATATAGCCTTTAGATTTGGAATGAGAAAAAGGTACAGGAATGTGCGTGGCTCGCATATAGACGGAAATGCCTGCCAAATTAATCACTCCTTTGCAAAGGATTGCACTAGAGCTGCAGTGAGGAGCTATGTGATCCTGGGAAGAGACACAGCTGCTTTAATGACTTGCTGACCAACTGCTACCAAGTACTCTCACTCATTCCAAGGATATCATCATGGCCCCATAGTTCTGCTTGGTCTGATAGTTTATCATTTCATTGCTGTAAATCTATGTGCATTTATCATTGTAGAATAACAATGGTACGTGTTTCTGAATAATCATCACGCAAATCCTTTAAATTCCCCGGCTTTTTACATATTATTACTCTATTTACCTCATATATGTCTTACAACATACTTTATTTCCTCTGCTTTATGTTTACATTTCGCTGGTTCTTCTGTATGGATGGAGGACAGCAGACATTGGAATTATATATTTGCATATATTCATGTGAATAGAGTAAAATTAAACCATGACCTAATATTAATTTTGGAAGCAGGTGAATTTTCAGCTTTAGTATTTAATACTTGACAATAGGTAACAATGATAATCTTCCAGGTTCAAAGAACTGAATCCTCCCTCATTAATTGGTATTTACATTTCTGTAAAGATATTCTCAGAAATGAAGAACCTCACAGAAATGTTCAAAACAAAGAATTTAGTTCCTGAAAGTATTTTCCAGATATACAATATAAATTGTATATAAATTGGTATTCCTTTCAAAATATAAATTAATCTGGGAATATATTCACTTTAAGGTCATTTTAAAATCAAAGGGTGAGGTTTAATAACTCCCATTCATCAATATCTGGAGAAACCTTTTTAATTTAATTGCATATTACTATTAACTGCATTATATCATCTGATACATACTATATACTCCTATATATTTAATGGATTTGGTATGAATGCAGAATTGATATTCCTTAAATTGATGGGTAACCAAATCATGACTTATTGACATCAGTTTTGTACCAGTTAATAGAGTATGCTGCTGCTAAGGGCATCTATCTTTTCAAGTAAGACTGCAAGAGTAGTGTGCACCACATCTTTCAAAAATCCTGGAACAGCAGGGAACTATCAGAGGACTGGAAAACAGCTGATGTGGTTCCCATCTTCAAAAGCGGGGAAAAACAGACCCAGGAAACTACAGACCAATGAGCCTAACATCAATACCCGGGAAGATATTAGAAAAGATAATAATAATAAAAAAACAACAGATCTGCTAACACCTAGAAATGAGTAAAGTAATAACTAGTAGCCAGCTGTTTGTTAAAAACAGATCATGCCAAACCAATCTAATTTCATTCTTCAACATAGTGACTATATTAATAGATCAGTGAAATACTGTGGACATAATAAACTTAGACTTCAGCAAGGCATTTGACAAAGTAGACCACAACCTACTTCTTCATAAGCTGGAAAAAAGAGGAATAGATAGCTTCACCGCCAGATGGATTTGCAACTGGCTGACAAACCGTACTCAATGAATAGTCCTTAATGGGTCTAAGTCTACATGGAGAGAATTAAGCAGTGGGATACCACAAGGTTCTGTCTTAGGCACAGTACTCTTCAATATCTTCATAAATGACTTAGATGAGGGAATAGAAGGAGAAGTTACCAAATTTGCAGATGATACTAAGCTGGCAGGAATAGCTAACATTTTAGAAGATAGACTCAAGATCCAGATGGATCTTGACAGACTTGAATACTGGGCCCCTATTTAACAGTATGAAATTCAATGTAGAGAAAAGTAAAGTCCTACACTTAGGTAAGAACAACTAAAAGTACACATATGCCAAGAGAAAGATGAGAGACATGAGACCGAACAATGTAGAAGAGCTGAAGGCCGCTATGTAAGCATCCTGGCCTTTCATAACACCTCAGCAGTGCCACAGGCTGATAGCTTCCATGCCACGCCGCATTGAGGCAGTAATTGCTGCAAAAGGGTCCCAAACCAAGTACTGATTACACATGCATACTTATACTTTTCAGAGGTCCGATATTGTTCTATGTACAATCCTTGTTTTATTGATTGCATGTAATATTCTAATTTTCTGAGATGGTGGATTTGGGGTTTTCATGAGCTGTACACCATAATCATCACAATTATGACAAATCACTGCTTGAACTATCTTGCTTTGCATGTAATGAGTCTATCTCATGTATTAGTTTCACCTTTTAAGTTGCATTATTGAAATAAATGAACTTTTGCACAATATTCTAATTTTTCGAGTTTCACCTGTATATAGAATGTGTATTTTCTTTTGGTTGGATACATCAAATGCTAGGAGTTTAGTAAATTCAGTTCTCCTGTATAAATCGTAATTGTTTTTCTCACTAATGTTTTTTTGCCAGTATAATTCTATCAAAGTTCATGATCCAATATTTCATTGAAATCTTTTTCTATTATCACTTTATCATAAATACATATATTCAAATGCTGAAAACATTCATAAAACGTAACAGGAAAATGCAAATTTGATTCATAAACATTAGCCATTTTTGGTATCTGCTTTTATAGCACATAAAATTAAATAATGCTGATTTACAACAGTTTATACATCAGTAGGAAATCCTTCACAAATTAAAATGGGTTCCACCACAAAACCGCGTTCGACTAAACCGCGCTCGACAAAACCGCGTAGCTGACGTCATCAACAGCACGACAACAGCGCGGAGACAGAAGCACGCTGTAAACGCTAAACCTAAAATTAACCCCTAAACCTAAACCTAACCCACTAAACCTAATCCTAATCCTAAACCTAACCTTAAACCTAACCCTTAACCTAACCCTAAACCTAACCCTAACCCTAAACCTAACCCTTAACCTAACCCTAAAGCTAACCCTAAACCTAATCCTTACCTTAAGTTGAATCAGCTTGCTTTCAAAGCGCTATTTAAAGCACCCTTCTTTCTCCGCGCTCGCTGTTGTCGCCCTGTTGATGACGTCAGCGATGCGGTTTAATCAGGTGCGGCTTAGTCGAGCGCGGTTTTGTCGTGCCACGTTAAAATGGCCATGCCTTTAGCTTTAGTTGAAGTATCTGTGAGATAAACTGTCCCATCCAATCCATCATTAATAAAATGTATCATCTTCCATTAAATCAGTTTTCTATAGATAAGCAAAATCTGCCCTTAATGATTATAAATAAGCTAAGTTTATATTTTGTTATTTTGGTAACACAACCATTTTATATTAAGACTTCGTCCATTTTATTTTTACCCACTTATTAATACTAACACCAATTGATTTTACGGCATATACCATTTGAAAAATGATCAATAATAATATTTACTATATTTAAATATTTAATGTATTTTCTAGCATTGCCCATAGATGTAAAGTCTTCATAAAGATTGAATTTAGCATTCAAACACCACTCCATAGGTATATGTGTGGAATCTATATTTAAAAGAGAAAAGAAGATAATTATGTGCATAAAAGATAAATGAACAAGCAAAGAATTTTTTAAAAATCCCCTGAAAAGTGTAAATAATTAAAAAAAAATATTGAAGAACTTGAAGACTTGCCAAAAGGGATAGTTCGGTGATTTCATTTCTCTTTTTATACTGAAAATTACAAGACAGTTTCAAACATTACTAGTTAAAAATAATGTACCCTGTATAGTTGGCAGTAGGCCCAGACCCTGTAACCAAAATATAAGCAAAAAAAGGGTGCAGGAAAATAATTTCAAATGTAGAGTCTTTTAAAAGGACGTATTTTTTTACCTCAGAACTGAAGCCAAACTCAAATTCTCTTGATCTCTTGAGGATCTCCCAGACATATTTGGTTTGAATTTCGACATATTTCATCCAAGGTGATCAAAGAGGAATATCTAGTTTCTTGGGGTTAAAAGATGAATTACTTTTTTAAATACAATGTTTCATGGAGATTATTTGCTTGCAGCTATTTCCATGTGTCTGTTCTGATTGGAAACTCAGAAAGGCTTAGTGCAGAAAGCTCTCACAAGTCTATAAAATGATTATTTGGTTCTTTTGTTAAATGTAAGAAAATCAGGAAACTAGAAGATTTGATACAATATTTTCTGTTGCTATATCAGTTTCATAACGGGGTGTATTTGAATGCTTCCAGGTAATGATGCGTCTCTTGGTGAACCAGAGAAACCACCACAATTGGCCCAATGTAGTATCCCAAGATATCATTAATCATGTCTGTTGTCTGAAAAGGAGTGTTTTTGTGATGGTTGGCCAAATTAGAGGAAAAACATTGCTATCTCTTCCTATTGAGCCTGAGAGGGAGAGATACATTAACTCTGACAATGAGAAAAAGTAAGTTGCAATGCTTTAATTATTGGTTCAAGTGGTTATTTTCAAGGTACTGCATGAATTGAAAGCTTTTCATGTTCGGCTTTAAGTTATAAATGTTGAATGAGTAGGAACAGAAGCATAGAAATGCAAACATGTTGGGCCAATAATATGAGCCAGTAATAACATTGTTTTGTGACAAATTTCCAGTTATTACATTAAAAGAGGGAATTTATGTTTTTGTCTTATATATGGTTTCTAGAGAACCATTCTCAAAAGAGAAATGAAGCTGATCAGTTGATACTTTTGTGTTTTGCAGTGCTGAACTGGTAGATAAGTCTATTATTCATGCAATTGAGTCTTCTGTTATTGAATGGACCCACCAGATCCAGAACGTTCTTAAGAGACAGTCTTCAGAACTGCTTTTGCAGGGCAAAGATCCCCATCCAAAGGTGGAGTTGGATTTTTGGAAAAATAGGTACTATATATTACTAAAGTCATTCTATAATGAAACCTAAATGGAGTAGGAAGAGCTAGGGCTTTGTAGTTGCCAGTTTGCAAGACCAAGTCATTTGCCGTAGCTTCTAACTGAACTGGAGGAAAAAGCTGAGAAGTAGAAGCATCCATTTACAAAAGAAAAACTTAGTTGTACAGTTGTACTTTCTGGCTGACACAAAGAATAACATTTCTCTGTTAATTCATTTGTCTTAGGAATATTATAAGCCTGTTTGCTGCAAGAGCGCATGCTCATATCTTCTTCATTATATGTTACAGATATGAGGATTTACAGTGTATTTATAGCCAACTAAAGGCTAAAAGAATTTTGACTATGTTAGAGCTACTAGAGAAGGTGCAAAGCACTTACTTTCCAGCATTCAAATCCATCTTCAGTGATGTCGAAGCAGGTAAGGCTGTGAAATTTTGGATTAGTGTGATTTAAAAAGGTTATTATTGTAATTACTTGAACAATACTCTATACATAACAGTCAACCTCTACAAAAGTTATAAGATTTACTTCTTTTCTTGTATAAAACACTATCACAAAATTCTTGTTTCATGATTTCTAGAGATAGTGATGCATGGCATTAAATCTCAATTAATGAAAATCATGACTTTTTGGACAAAGGCACATTTGGAATTTTTAGAAAGGTCACACACTTCATCCCAAAATTATTGTATGGGTATATGTTGACAAAACTATTGGGTGCAATCAATCAATTTATTTACTGTTTTGACCGCTAGTTGTAACAAAAATGTACAGTCAATTTTAAAACATATCAGAGACAAATTTGTGTGGCTAAAATATAACTAACTTTTGGGAAAAAATGAATACAGAAGCTTGTTGTATACAGTTATGTGTAATTAATGGAAAATCCTTATTGATTTCGAGAATGTTATCTCTAAGTTTATTGAGAAATTAGCTCTATTTGCACAATATAGCTTGCCAAAAGCATTCTACAAATTTTGGAGAATTTTTTAAAGAACCTTTATATTTTCTGAGAGTTAACATAATGACTCCATACAGTGCGTTAACAAACTGAATGCTGATGTGTGGATGATGAATCCTTTCAAAGAAATAGTATGCATAGCGTAGATACTTTGTGTCAGAATGATATGGTAGATTATACCATAATAATGAATGTAAAATCAATGTTAAACAACACAGAAAATTGCAGAATAGAGAAGATGCCCTCAGTATATTCATAATTGTAGAGCAAATGTTAATCAATACTAATACTATAGCTTCCCCAATTTTCTATCTAGTTGAATTAGGTTTCAATGCAGACAATCATTTTCCCATAAAAGAAGCAAATTGTTTGGATATAATAGAAAAACAAGCTCATCTGAGCATATCAATTAAATCCTAAAACTTAGATAGAAGACACTAAGACAATATTGCATTACAAATGAAACAAAAATAAGTTACATGTTAATAAAATGAGATAATTTTATGGGTATATTTTTATGAATGATGAATACATTTTATTTGAATGACAATTGATGTTCCATTTATAGTTGAGTTAAAAGTTAAAAAAAGATTGCTGGCAATAGTATTAAAATCTAAAAAAATAATGACTAAAATATATATAAGTAAGTAGGCAGTAAAATCATTGCAAACGTAAAAAATATTGAAAAACTGGTCACTGAAAGGTTGACGATTATTGCTGTGTAATACATCAAAGTATTTAAGTATCTGGGAATTACTTTTTAATCCTCTTTGCCTGGAGGAAATAATTAAAAGCTAAAGGTTGGTTAATACAATTCTGTATTTCATAGATAGTAGAGGCCCACTGCCCTAATTGCTGTTAAAATCAAAAAGATTAGCCCTCATTTGTCCTTAGAAACACCTTGGACTATGGAAGCAGTCTAAATTTTTAAGATTTAGAAATTGGGAGAATACTTTGGGAATGGGCTGAGTGAAATACCATTCATTCATCCTATGTGTGCCTTCTCTCTGGTGAGTTTTAATAGTTTGTCATCTAAGCTAGTAGAAGAGAGATTTAACAATATCCTAACGCAAGCATAATTATGCCCATGACAATGGGGAATACTGAATCTGCATTTTTTATTGCACTGCCTGTGTTATATCGTTTGGCACTAGGGCTTAATAACCCTTTTGCTGTTAAATTGTTCTGGCTGGTCTATTATGGAGAAAATTCATCTTCTTTTGGCTATGCCTATCTAGACGTATCTAATGAAGTAGCTAAGTTTTGTGTAATTGCCTTTCTAATAGGTGAACAATGGTAATACTCTAAATATTGAATAAGTGTATATGTTTATCATATTGATGTCAAGAACAGAATACATAAAGAATACACAGTCTATTTATACCCATGTGAACTTTGACTTCTAATTCTTCCTCTTACTGGTTTATGCTCCCATAATTTTCTCCCTGCTATGTGTATTCTTCTTTAATGGCTAATCTTTGACCTTAAATCAGTAAGGCTGATTTAAAATGTTTTTTTTTAAAAAAAAAAAAATCCAGGCAGCTGGGATGCTTAAAAGTGACTCTCTGGTCTCCTACATTAAACCTAGAAGTAGTCAGTAGAATAAAAATGATAATAGGTAGGGTGGAAGCAAATGTTTGAGTTCATTCTTGTCTACTGATATAATTTGTAAATGAAATAATAATAAAAGGAACAGGTATCATCTGTTGCAGTGGTGGGATTCAAATAATTCAACAACTGGTTCTCTGCCCTAATGATTTCTTCCAACAATCAGTTCACCAAACTGATAGAAAGTTAACAACCGGTTCTCCCGAAGTGGTACAAACTGGCTGAATCCCACCACTGATCTGTTGGCAACTGTTATGTATTTATGATGGTTGCAGTGTCCAAGTCATGTGATCACCCTTTGCAAACCTCTGACGAGCAAAGTCAACGGGGGAGCCAGATTTACTTAGTAACTATATTACTAACTGCAGAGATTGACTTAACAGCTGTGGCACACACGGTAGTAAAATGGGGAAAATGCATTTAACGACTGTCTTGCTTAGTAACAATGATTTGGAGCTTAATTGTGGTTGTAAGTTGAGTACTACCTGTGTACCATTCACCTGTTTAAAAAACTTCTTGAGGAACTGCCAAATCCTACAACATATTTATCTTATCTGTAGGAAATTGAGTTATATGTTGTTACTTTTGGGTGATGTATTTTCTTTGCCTTTCTTTTTCTCCGCAATTTTAAGAAGAGATCCCATTAATTTTAATATCTCATGTTATCTGACTGCATGCAACATAAAGCCAAGATAAATTTGTTGGCACTCTAACTCATAATATGAATACTTGGGGATAAATCCCTGTGAATATAAAATGATTTATTTCCAAGGAATGTTATTTTTATATTGTCTTCGAAGAAACACACAAAGATTAGTATTTCTTCTTTTAAAACTCTGTTCTTTGTTTTCAAAAAATTGCAGCTTTGATTGAAGCCCAGGATATAAATATGCACCTAAAGCCTCTTCAGCGCCCACTGGAAGAAATAGAAAATGTGGAATTTAATGAGGTGAAACCATTATTAAATTGCATACTTCATATAGTATGCTTAATATGGGGCACTTCAAAATATTACTGTGCACCTGCTAGGATAATTGTGCTTCTTCAAGAAATCTGCAATCTTCTTATTCAGCAGGTAAGACGTGAAGCAGTTCCTGTTTGTTTGTTTGTTTGTTTGTTTGTTTATCATGTTTAGGAACCATCCGTCTCCCTCACGGGGCAACTCTGGACAGTGTATAAGTAAGACATAAAAACATAAAAGCTGTATATAAATATTACATTAGGAGGCAATTCAAACAAAAGTAGAATAA